CCTCAAAATTAGTGTTGCGCTAAATGTAACACTATAGTTTAAACACTAATCTGTGTTTTTCTAGACGTTAAAAATGTTTTGATTTTTTGTAAGTATATTTATGCGTGATTTATTTCGCCCATTTAGGTCTTCATGTACTATGTATATAACCGGACGCAATTAAATAATTCAAATAAAAAAATGCTATTTATATCATATAATAAATTACACATTGTCATTTAGAGTCATATACTAAATTACACATGTATATTATATTGGCTTACAAGAAATAACGGAACGATATCACAATAAAATAATAAAAACTGAAATATAAATTTTATTTTAATTCCGAGTCAATGCATTGTTATAGTATTTCTTTTAAGTATATAAACTCAGTTTAAACTCAAACTCAATTCAGTGAATATTAAATTAAAAACAAGTCTTAAAACATTTATATGCAAAAGCGAGTTAAAACTTTGAAAAATAGATACCGCCGTCAGAGAAGAACCGTATATCAACATTTTGTGTTTTTTTTTTGTCCATTATCAATAAATATTCAGGAGTGTGTGTTTCATAAATATACCACAACAATAAAATTTTAGGAAATATTTAAATAATCAGTCGAATTTTCTGGAAGAAAGACTTTGCAAATTAAAATTTGAAACTTGATTTTCTTGGAAACACAAAAAAAAGACATACGGTCTCTTGGTTCTCGGCTGACGATATAACAAAAATAAACAAGAAAGTGATAAAAATACTTTTTCGTTTCACAAACATATTGCTTAATTTAATCTTAAACTTTTGACAATACTTTATTTAAAAGGAATTGACGATAATTCTTTTGTTGTTTATTCCAAGCAAATTTCCCATAAATCCATATACACAAATAAGTTCATGAGGAAAATTGACATTAAATACATGAGACTAGCAGCAACTCAAAAGCAAATCCAATACTCGGTATGGCTTCCAACCGTATAGCTGTATTATCGACTTATAATTATAGTTATAATTTAAATTATAAATAGAGTGCTGAAACACTTGAATAAAATCAGTAGAAAAACTTTCTCCTTCTTCAATAACTCAAGGGAGCTTTCAAGACTGAGGTGTACCTAAATGTTTAAGTAAAATTTTAAAAATGCAGAAAATTCAAAGCTCAAAAAAGTAATACTTATTGATTATAAACCAAATTTAACTTTAAAAAAAAATGCATAGAAAAAACTTACATCCATTTCTCTATAAAATAAAGCCAAATTCTTGGACTCTTCTTGCCCTTCTGTGGAGGTGCTATCATAAGAAAAGGGAGCGCCTTAAATGCAAGCAAAGTTGCATCTTCTAAATAAAAATAAAAATAAATCAGGGAACAACTTGTATATACTTATAAACCTTTATAGGTAGATTATAAAAAAACATTCTTTTGGATTAAAAGGGTATATTACATAAGGAACTAATAAATGAAATAAGATGAGAAAGAGAAACTTCGCACTTTTGCAGATTGGCACATAGTCAAGTTGCAGCAGCTTAGTACTTATGCAGACTGACAATTATGTTGTAAAATTTCTTATTTTATAAAGTTCTTATTTATTCATTCTCCCCACTTAGGGTAGTAGACATATATATACCTCCATTATATTAGTCTTCTGACAAAGTATTTTTGAACATTGAATCTCTTGCTAGTAACAGAATGTTTTGTTTGCAAGTGTTAAAGCCATCATGCAATGTAATATTACTTGATACCTCTTCAATGAAATGAAACTATCTTTGAAATTCCCTCATTAATTTCATATCTAGGAGGGCCCATGTTGCATGTTTCAGAAGTTACAAAAAAAGAATTTTTTTCTAAGTGTTTATCTTGTTTATAAAATGTGTCAAGAAACTTTAGTGGCTCATTGCAATGTATAACACTACTTTCAAACTTACTCTTAAACAATAATAGAGTGGAATCTGCTCTAATGTCATTGAAAACTGATAAAGCAGCATTACCAATATCATCGCTCAAAATAACAACCGATTAATGATCAGCAATGTTTGAAGAAATTTCAAAAAATTCAAGGAAAACCTTTTTTTGTGAAATAATTACATTTTATTGGCAAGCTTTGAAAAACTATTTGAGCGCTGCAATATAGGAAACTAACGATTATGAAATTACTGTTAACAGAAACAATTACTTCAGGTATAATGTAATAAGGAACACTGCTGCTTGTTCACAATGAAGAAACTAACAAAGGATCAATATATTCTATTGTTTTTTCAGGATAAGTGTAAACTTGATAAGTAGAATTCTCTGGGAAACTAGGCAATGAATATTCTGAAAAATTAGGCAATAAATCGTTACGATTATCATTTAATGGATTACTATATATTTTGGCTCAGGATTTTTATCAATGAAATCATTATCAATATTATGGTAACATTTTACATGTCTAATTAGCGACATATAAGCTGTACAGGTACATTTACAGCCATTCTGTAAACATCTAATTGGATAAACAATTTCGGCAATACTATTATGACGTTGTAGATGATTTTGAAAAAAAATCAATAGTTACGTAAAAGTACCATATATATAGCAAATAAACATTTTAATAACTTTTATCAGAAAAAAAAAAAAAAATTTCATATATATATATATATATATATATATATATGTATATATATATATATATATATATATATATATATATATATATATATATATATATTTATATATATACACAATATATACATATTATAGCACTATAAATCATAGTTGCAATTGTGCATTTATTGCATATATTAATATAATTTTATTAGAGTGCTTTCATAGGTATGATGAAATTATTTAATACATTATTTCAACATGCAACATGACTAAAAATCATAATCTTAACTAATAAAAATCATTATTGAATGATATATCATGCAATAATGATTTTTATTAATTATCTCTGCAAAAAAAAAAGATATGTACATAATGTAAAGTATACCTTTATGGTATACATATATATCTAGTTGTTAACATATGATAACTAAAATAGTTGTTGTTAATATAACTAAAATGCTGCTATTTTAACTAAAATAACACTATTATCATATTTATTTGATAATATTTATGTATTAAATATTTTCCATTTTGTTACAACATAAAAAAATTAACTTTAACAACATTAACATTAACGTTTAACGTTAACAATATTATTTAACAACATTATTTACATTTATGTTAACAAATTACTTGTGTTATGTTAACAGATTACCAGTTAACTGGTAATGTCATGTGATTTTATTTAAACCTATATTTTACAAATTTTTTTTAGACTAATGTTATTTTATATAATTAATGTTATTATGTTATAATTTTTATAACTTCATAATAATGTTGTTAACGTAACTAAAATAATTGTATTAACATTTTAATACAATATATATAAAATAATAACATTAGTCTAATTAAATAAAGTCACACAACTAATTCATGTAGTAATGTACTACAAACCGAAGGTCTTACCTAATTTTTAACAACTGAAAATCGATATTTTCCTCGCTTAACATATTTAATACGATATTACTAAAATATTACAAACCAAAATTTTTTTATGAAAAAGTTAACTATGTATGTGTTTAAAATTACCATGCAGCAATAAAAGTTACACTAAAATTTTCAGTAAAACTGAAAATGGTTCATAAAAAAAAACATGTCGCTAAAAACATGATTCTAGCCTCCTTTCCAAATAATTCGATACGAGAATCCAACAAAGAAGTGTGGCTTTTTTTACGCATATAATGAAGTTTAATTTCATAATTACAAGTGTGGCTTTAAGGCGGACAAGTGTAGCCTTGAAGTACACAAATTGTGTAGCCAAAAAGACACTACACTAAGTGTCGTGTTTTTTGTCCACACTATTTTTAAGCGTGTATGTATGTATGTATGTATGTATGTATGTATGTATGTATGTATGTATGTATGTATGTATGTATGTATGTATGTATGTATGTATGTATGTATATTAGGGATATTGTATGTATATTAAATTTAAACAAATTTTGTACAAAAACTTAGAGAGTGAAGTTTAGAGTCTTTACTCTATATATCTAACAGGTATAGGAAAGATTACATCACTAAATCTTAGAGATTTACTGATACTTAAGGTAATTTATGGTCTATTCTTTGAAAGAATTCATAAAAATGTAAACACGTAAAATGTAAAAATATAAAAGTAGTCATTATTTTAGTCAGTATTTGTTTTAAATTTTGTTAAAAAGTTGAATCAGTTGAACTAAGAAGCTACAGTCTATTATTTAGTTAATAATAATTTATTCAATGAAAGCAGGCATATTATAATTTAAAAATGCAATCTGTTCTCCATGTTCGGGTAATAGTCTGTTTATTTTTGCTTCAAATATGTTTCCAGATGTGCTAAATAAGCGTTTACTTTTTACAGATGAAGAAGGCGCGCACAAAACTTTCTTTGAAAACTTTAACAAATTCAACTTGTAAGTATCTTTATCAGAGGAAGTGTAACGGTATGCACTCCACCACTTATAAGGGCATTCATTCTTTGGCAGTATTGGAAGGCTCAAGTAGAAGTTGACTTCATTGGTGCTGATACATAAAACATAGGTGATAATTTTAGGTTTAAATTTTTAAAATATTACACTTTAATCAACTAAACAAAATAAAAGAATGCTCTTATCCGTCTTTTCAAATATAAAAAATGGAGATTGAGAATAGAGATAAAAAATATATTTAATATTTAATGTATAAACAATATAAAAATCATAAATAGATTCTGTTTTCTTACAATTTTAATTTGACAGTTAGAGTTTTTCCCATTGAACTAGTGTTTTTTTTCTTTTTTCTCCGTCCGTCAGAATTTTCTGAATTTTGTAGAGCATACTCATTTGCACCGATTTGGTGGAACAAGCTATATGTCCATGGTCATTAGTTTTTGTTTTTTTAATGGAGAGCCATGGCCATCAAAATCTGAGTCGGACTCATGAATTTTAGATTCTGAAAATGAACTTAATGATTCTTCTGAGTCTAATCAACTACCTCTTGCTACACCAAATTCAATTTCTTTTACTTGTTCTAAATGAGATTTGGAACAAAAACGGTAGAACTCTAGATGGAGTATTTCTTTAAACATATTACGATTCTTGTCTTCAACAAACTTTAACTTGAAACGAGGATCAAGCATCATCGCGATTTTTAAATCAACATTATCTTTGTATTTTTGAAAACGACAGTTAAAATCTTTCTTAAGTTTATCAACAACAGTTTTTATTTCAGTTGCCGTGTCACAAGCGTAGTCTAGAAACTTTTCCATTGCATAGATAAATGGTATAATCTCTGATATACATGCAGTTTCTTTACTCATGTCTTTTGTAGTACTTTCGAAGTGTTTTGGTATGCATACAAGCATTTCAGCAAGTTGCCATTGATTTTCCGTAGGATTTTTTGCATTTGTTTGACTTCTGGTAATGCAATACAATGTAATAGCTTTTTTCTGCTCAATGAACCTTTCAAGCATATAGTATGTCAAATTCCATCTTGTGGAAACATCTTGAATTATGTTATGCTCTGGCAATTTTAGTTGACTTTGAATTTCCTTTAGTTTAGCCACAGCACTAGATGAGTGGTGGAAATGTCCTGCTAATGCTCGAAAAACAGCTATTGTATCACTTGCTGTTCTTTATTCTCTAAAGATCTTTTTCTGAATACAAAGTTGTAAAGTATGTATCAGACATGGAAGATATTTATTGCCCAAATTTGACTCTTTAATGGCAGCCATTACATTGGCTGCATTATCAGTTAAAACTGCATGAATTTTTTCATGGTGAATTTCCCATGATTGTAGCGCTTCATTTATGAATTTACTTATATTGTGCTCTGTGTGCGACTCAGGGAAGTGTGTAACTTGTAAGATGACATGTTTAACTGTAAACTCATGCGTTACAAATCTAGCTGTTAAACTGTAATACGATTGAATTGTGTGCTGACAGGTCCAACCATCACTAGTTAAACTTAGGAAATCTGCTTGATCAAGCTCATATTTTACTTTGGCTTTTATGGTTTCATACATCAGTGGAATGACTTTTGTGGAGAAATACTTTCGACTAGGTATTGTATAGTTTGGAGCTAAATTCTTTAAAAGTCGGGTAAAATCTTTATCTTCAACAATACAGTATTGCTGCAAGTCTAAAGATATCATTTCTCCAATAAGCTTGGTAATAGCTTGAGCCTTAGGATTATCAAGTTGCCACAATTCTTTTCTTTAAAAAATCTCCCGCAGTGAGACCTGAAACAAATTCAACGAATTAAAAAAAATACTTAGCAACTTGTAACTAACAATGGCCAGCGACGGATCTAAGTGGCGGATAGAGGTATGTATCTTTCCCCCCTCACCAGAACATTTATTATAATATTATAAGCTTAGATAAGTTAGTTAACTTTTTTCTATACAAAAGATAATTTTTCGATGCCCCCATCCAGTCACAAAATCATGAATACTGAATAGTAAATGAATTCAGCTACAGTTAGCTGAGTTACCTGTGTCGATGCTTTTTGAAAAAAGGCAATTTTGTTATTAGACACACACGAGCTTCCCTGCGTTTTATCTGTGGCAGTGCTGGTAATGATTTGCACTGATTCAGCAGAGCTTGTTCTATCTGAGCATATTGTTCGAGTAGTGCAAAATTGTTTTATAGACTTTTCATTTGGATTTGGTAAAGATTCGTAGTTAATAATTTTCTTCTGAGAAAGAATCATGCTATGTATATTGTAATGTACTTTTTTCAGATGGTTTTGTAAATTTGTTGTTGACATGTTGTGTGCGTCTTTACTTCCTCTAGACAAAATCTTTTTGCAAAGTATGCAGATGGCTTTGCCAACATCTTCATCACTCACTTTAAAATGATTCCATAAGGGATTTTTACTTCGCGATGAGGTAGCCATAATGCGCTAACTTAAAGTTGTTATAACAATTCTGAAAATTGAAATAGAAAGTTTAATTATTTTCTTACCTTTAATAATATTTATTGAAATAAACAATATTCGTTCAATTTTTTGATTCAAATATTATTTGAATTAAAAAAAATCGAAGTCGTAAATAACTAATTAACCTATATTTGTAGAGCAGGTATATTTACTTTTACTAATGATCCAGCGTACAAAATCAAAAACAAACGCAATTGACTTACATTTCAATTGTGCTTTTCTGCCTAGTGTCTTTTCTGTGTAGTGTCTTTTCTGTGTAGTGTCTTTCTGTGTTCTGTCTGTGACTTAGTAAAACAAACTTTCTGAATAAAAATTGTTTCGTGCGTTAAAATTAACTTATTCTATAGATTTTTAAAAATTTCGAGAATAGTTAACTCTCTTAACTCTCGCGCGCTATGTTTTTTATTACTTAAAATCCGGAGGTTTTAGTTACATCTAAGTAATTTCAAATGAAGATTTATTTCCAGGTTTAATTTTTGATTTTAATTTAATATTAAAAAATATATAATTTAATATAACTCGGATTTTAGAAGTTGATGCTAACTAATAACTGAATGCTAAAAAAATTAAATTTTAATTATTTTTCATTATTTTACTACCAACTAATGCATAAATAAATTTTGTTGCTAAGCTCGAGTGATCATAACTAAATATTAAAGTTATGGTATTTAATTATATAAAGTTTACTATAATCTTACAGTTTAAATCAGCTTATATTGAGTGATTATAAAAAAAATCAATGTGTTTCATTAAGTAACTTTACTTTCTATCCGCTATCGTGCCGTTTTTGGCCGCCCTACACACGGCCTTGCCACCTCCAAAAGCCGTTGCTAAGTTCATTTAATCTTCACAACTTTATAGATCAGAGGCTTATTTAAATTTCTCAGAAGAAGAAAAGAAAAAGAAGAATTTTGAACGTTCAACTACGTTTTATTCCGAAAACAGACGTCGTGTGAACGTTTCAAAAATGTCTTCCTCAGTCGAATGCCAGCTTAGTAATGTCCATTTTTTTGCCGAAGCCAATGATTCGGCAAAAAACGCAAATGGCTTCGGTTTGCCGAAGCCATGGGCGTTTAATACATATATGTATATATACATATATATACATATGTATATGTATATATATATATATATATATATATATATATATATATATATATATATATATATATATATATATATATATATATATATATATATATATATACATATGTATACATTTATATATATATATATATGTATATATATATGTATAATATATATATATATTATACATATATATATATATATATGTATATATATATGTATATATATATATATATATATATATATATATATATATATATATATATATATATATATATATATATATATATATATATATATATATATATATATATATATATATATATATATATATATATAGTATTGGACAAAACGAGTGCAACCAAATAATGCTAATTTAGTTTCTTTATATAAAAGTGCTGCATTTTTTCAATTAAGAGAAATAAATATGTAACTGTTTAGAGACAACGTTCATCAGGTTTTAATCATCACAAAGTTCATTATTTGTACACGAAAATTAATAAATTAATCAAAAGTGTTAAGAAAAGTTGATTTCCTTCTGGATAAAACAAGTGCAACTCCACAAAATGTTGACCAAGCTGTAATTCGCTATCAATATTTTGTGACGAATCCTTTGTTGTTGATCACAGCCTTGCATCTTCGAGGCATAGATTCGATCAGGTGATTAATGAAGCTTTGTGGAATCGCTGCCCAGGTCTTTTGGATTTGTTCAAACAGTTGATCCTTATTACGAACACCTTCACAATTAATTCTGCGGTTGATGATCGCCCCCAGGTTCTCGACAGGGTTGAGATCTGGAGATTGAGGCGGCCAATCCATCACCGATAAGTGGTTGTCTTTAAACAACTGCTTGGCTACTTTTGCAGTGTTTCGGATCGTTGTCTTGCTGAAAAACCCATTTTATTTGCATATTCCACTCAGCATGAGGTAACATAACATCTTTCAAGATATTTTTATACATGAAACGATCCATTATTCCATCGATTCGATGTATTGGACCTAGACCGTTAGCAGAAAAATGCCCCCAGACCATTACATTGCCTCCACCATGCTTTACGGTTTTATGGCAAATGAATCGAGGCATTTTTCACTCGGTTGACGTATACGGCAAATGCCATCGCTCCCAATGGTGTTGAACTTCGATTCATCACTAAACAGGACAGTTCGCCATTTCTGCACATTCCAGTCAATATGAGATGTAGCCAATAGAAGTTTTTTCTTCTGGTTCTTTAGTGAAATCAGCGGTTTCTTTGCAGGGCGTCGAGAAAACAATCCGACTTCAACAGCACGTCGTCTGATTGTTCGGTACTGATTTGTTCCGATACAGGCAGCTCTAATTGCTTTTGTATCTCGACTGATGATATCCAGGGATCCTTCTTGACGGATCTGACGATCATAGAATCCTCTCTAGAAGTAGTTGAACGCGGTCTTCCACCTTTGTTATCTGCTGCCAACTTCCCCGTAGAGCGATATTTGGAACATAGTCTTGATACGGTCTATTTTTTCACGCGATATTTATCACAAATACTTTTTTGTGACATTTCATTTACGTAATCGCCAATACTTTTCTTTCTTAGTTCCAATCCAAGAATGTCGGGAGCCATTTTTGCACTTGAAGTCATAAAAATAATAAAAATAAATAATCACGCTTCTCAAGGCTTACCGTGTTACATTTACCTTGTGATGATACAATAATGCTCTGTGGAACACAACGTATATATATATATATATATATATATATATATATATATATATATATATGTATATATATATATATATATATATATATATATATATATATATATATATATATATATATATATATATATATATATATATATATATATATATATATATATATATATATATGATTACGAACCTGGGATAATTTCATCATATTTATTATATATATATATACAAAAAAAAGTCATAGAGAAAATCATACAGAACTATACAAAATTAAATTAAGGGACGTTTTCATAGTAATTTTCGTAACCATATTTTACTTAAAACGGCTACGACAACGACAACTTATAAAATCATAGTTTCTACGTTCTCGTTGCGGTAGGCGTTTTGGTTTCGTAAAGTTGGTAATATTGAAATGAAGATGTTAGTAGCTTTTTAAAAACTGAAAAGTCTTGTATATTGTAACTTTTGGCTCTTCCCTCTCAAAAGGTTGCCAACACCTGGTTTATAAAGTTTGTTAAATGCTTTTTTTGTTATTCAAGACTCTATTAAAAATAATTGGTTTTCATTGTAAATTTGTATTATGTCTAATGTTAAAGTGAGGAGAATTTTATTCATTTGAAATATAATTATAATTTAAAGGTGTAAACATTTTTGTGAACCCTTTAATCTTTTTTTTCTAAAAGTTTAAATATTTTTTTCTATACCTTTTACTTTTATTCACTTTTTGTTGAGAGCAAGCATTTGTAATTTTAAATGATTATATTCATTTAGTTAAAAAGTTATTAGTTAAAATTTGAATACATTTTTTTTTCTAAACGTTTTACTTTGAACCACTTTTTTGCTTCAGTTGTAAACTGGGAAATTCAAAACATTTTATTTTCCATCTTAATTTTTATCTTTATTATTTTTATTTATTTTTTATGGGGGTTATCGAATGTTGACGTAATTTTATAGGGGGGTCACTCAAAATTTGACAAGTTGTTGAAAAGGGGAGGGAGAGGTAAAAATTGCCAAAAAATTGTTGAAGTAATTAATGGACAGACTTAAAACTTGCATTTTTAACTTACATTCCACACTTCGTCTTCAATTTTGCCCTTCTTACAAATGGCGGATTATTCTTATAAACAAAAAAAAAACGGCTTTATTTTTTGTCTAATAAAATCCCGCAAGCTAACATCTAGTTTATATATCATTGGCTAGTGAAAAAACGTGCTCAACAATATGGCGGATTAGAAATGGTCTGTAACGCGAAGACTTGATAATAATAAAAAATTATTATCTAGCGATTTTTCTCGTTGTTTAATTTATATACCCGTATGAAATACAGACACTACTAATTCTTAAACCTTTTAAGTTTGAGAAAAGTTCTGATGTGTTCAACAATATTGCTTAAGATCACTCTTATCCAAAGTTTTCACAGCGATCCAAAGTTTTCAAAGCGAGGATATTTGTAATGTTACTGACAAGTTAACTGCTCTGGAAGATTTATCGATAGTGATATTAAAATCTAATTAATTTTGCTGGGAACATTCGTGAAGATAAAAATCCAGATAATACCTTCATTAGTATAAAAATTTAGCAATTATTCAAAAGAGATAAGTCGAGGAGATTTAACAAAAGCAGACAAAGTTTGCCAACGTGCAACTTACTGCTACATATTTTTTCTTGAGCTATATAATAATCTTTGCATGTCATTATTACGTGACCTAATTAAAATATCAGAAAACTATGCATTCGGTATGAAAAGTCATCATCAACAAAGGCAAATGTTTTATTTGATAATTGTTATTATCTTTATTCACCTTGTTCACGTAAGGAGACCAAATAGAAATCGATAAAACTCAGCACAAATTAAAAAACATACAACAATGCTTTAAAGTAAAACTGTAAAAAAATAGGTTTAAAATACTTTTATTCAACAAAGATTTTTTTTAGTTAAAATTAGAGTAAAGCATAAAATTAAAACACAATTAGTACAGTTTATTCTTCAAGAATTTTAGTGACACTGACATTTTAATAAAAACCTTTTAGTTTAAAGAGAGCAACGACACTTGACTTTTACTATAAATTTAAACATTTTGACTATTACTGTTAAGTGAAGTTATTATAAAGAGATACATCATGCAAGTATAATATTCTGGTAAAAAATCGCTTTTTGAAGATGTAAATAGGGTACCCTTGTGGTTCTAAAAATAGATTTAATAAACTTTTCACAAAGCTTCCTGGAATCTAAATGTAGACAAGCAAAACGAAATACAAAGAAACTTACCGATTCAGAAAAAAATGTGTATAAAAGTGCAATAAAACAATGTTATTAGGATTTATATTCATCAGACTCTTTCTACCTTGAAAATTTGCCAGCTGGTGTAATTTAAAAAAATATGAAGAACTAAAGGTTCAATGACAAATTTGAAAAAAGGATAAAAGACAAAAAAAGCTTCTGAAATTATATGTCGATACAGAATAAAAATAATATTAACATAGATGCAAATAATATGTATAATCATTATAACAAAAAAATTAATAAACTATATATTTGTTCTGATTAAACTACAGAATGCAACATGGTTAATCTCAATACTTAAAATAGCCACGGTTTTATTGTTAATTTTCTCTATTATTTAGTCCTTCATTGTATAAACATGATAAATATGGTTTTATCATTTTAATGAATCTCAATTTTCTATTTTAATGACTTCCTTGGACCGTCAAATCATCAACTATAATATTTCAGCTCAAGGAGTGTGAAATTAAAACAAACTCTTTAAAGTTATATGTAAAAAAGCATAAGCATGTAAAGAAATTAATATCTGTGGTATTAGTGATATTTCAGAAGTGTGGAATTATGGAGTATATTAGTTTTCAAGATTCTTTTCTTGTCTATAAATGGATTTTTATTTCAAGACTTGCTTTTACGGAAACAAACAACTATTTATATTGCACTATTTTTTGGTGTGTGAAAAGTCAACAAAAAAAGATGTTAATCAAAAAGAATTCTAAAAAGCTCGAAATTATTTTAAACAATTCAATGACTTATGAATTTAAATAAAAATTAATAATTCAATCCGAATTTTTTTTTTTTTTGCAAATTGCAATTTTTCACTTTTTTTTTGTGTATATAAAGATTCCTTTGTGTAATCTCTGTACAAGTACAAAAAAAAGTAAATTTAAAAAGATTAAAAACCATTTTAATCTTTTTAAATTTACTTTAGGTGCTTAATACAAAGGAGGGGAAGTTTATTAACTTTTGGAAAATATACCCTCACTAAGCGTATTAGTATTTCACTTATTTATATTTCGCTTATTGTCAAAAAAAACTTTAATCTACTGAAAAAAACTTAGAGTAATAAGGCTTAAAATGTCAAACTAACTGATAAAAATGAAAACTTTTAAGTAATCAGCTCTTAAAAGTTCACTAACATTAAACAAGAATTTAAAAAGTTGAGTTTTATCGGAAACTGTGAAACTTGTATTGCTGTTGCCGTACATTTTAAGACAATTCGATCCCAGAATCTTTAATTTTAATTTATTCAATATTTGCATGACGACAGCAAAACGGTATTCTATTGCTATAATGCTATATTTTTATATCTGCTTCCAGTTTTTTAATTTATTTTGTTACAAGGTTTGCATTGGCAAACCTTGTAAGCCGCGGCAAAAATAATCAATCTCAAAAAGATTTTCGTAGAGTATTTCATTGACATTAGGGTTATAAATTGGTGAACCGTGCCGTGTTATTTTGTTCGCTCTTTATTTTTAGTTTATTCAATCAATGTTATTTAAAAGTGTTGTAAGTCTTCTTATTTTTTAGTTTTGATGTAATACTCAAAATATAGTTAAATCCCAACAAGTTTTGGATGAATTTAGTTTCGAATTTCGAACGTTCTAAATAAATTACAAACGCGCACTTCTAGGACTGTCCTTTCAATCATAATAATTCGAGTGGTGAACTTTGGCTTTTTATTTTATGTTATATTTATTGCTATTTCTTAATAATATTTTTATCATTGCATTGGTTTCTGATTTTAGGTAAGCACTGAATTAATTATAATTTTTTATCAATTGTAAATAATATTATCATTGTTTACAATCAGAAACCAACAATATTATTATTGTTTACAGACAGAAACCGACAAGGTACTGTAGTTGTTTTCCGAAACATAAAATAGTAAGTATTGGGTTAGTTATTAAGTAGTAATAAAACCGTTTTATATTCGCCACAATTTCAGCAGTTCTCAACAGTTCAGCATCCCAGGTGGAGGACAAATAATTGTTTTATGCTTAGTCTTTTGTCTTTGTCCATGTCATGTAAAATTACTAATTGACCACCAGACTGGAAAGAAACGCCTGACTGCAGCGAATAACAAATGCTAGAGCAATGGAGCGATGATAATAAAATGGAAATTTTCAAGCCTCAGCAATCTGGTGAATTAACTTGTAATGTGGACAAACGATCAATTAACGAGGATGGCGTAGGTCAAGTAATTTGTCTTGAAAATCCACATCTTTTAAAAACTTTGCAAGAACATTCGCTTGCAGCTGCAACTGTTTCAAATTTAAATATAAATATAAAGCGTTTTAACGATGCCAAAGAAAATAAAAATACCTGTAGAGACAGTAAGATTTTTTTAACTACTGTTAATATACATAATGTATCGTTATCTCGTTTCCATCCTTTTTTGAAAAATTTTGGTTTTCATATTAAATCTTTGATTAGATATATGAAATGTTTCATACTATTTAGATGCATTGTTATCATTATAATATTTGAAATGAGTATGATAATAAATAAGATCCAACAATTATACTACGATTATATGTTATCATGCTCACGTTAGTTATTAATAAAGTTATGTTTTATTACAGTTAGGTTTTATAGTTAGAGTGATTTTTTTTTTATAACAAAAAAAAAAAAATCTTTAGTTAAACTCTTTTGATACACACACACATACATACATACATACATACATACATACATACATACATACATACATACATACATACATACATACATACATACATACATACATACATACATACCTATGTATGTATGTATGTATGTATGTATGTATGTATGTATGTATGTATGTATGTATGTATGTATGTATGTATGTATGTATGTATGTATGTATGTATGTATGTATGTATGTATGTATGTATGTATGTGTGTACATATGTGTGTATGAGTGTTTTGTGTGTTTTGTGTGTGTGTGTGTGTTTGTGTGTGTGTGTGTGTGTGTGTGTGTGTGTGTGTGTGTGTGTGTGTGTGTGTGTGTGTGTGTGTGTGTGTGTAAAAACTCACTTATATATATACATGTATTTTATTTTTTAATATTGTTAAATTGATATAAAATATACAAATAATAATAAAAATAGTAACAATAGATTTAAAGAACAGTGATTATAAAATAGTATATAATAAAAGGCTAAAACTGTTAATAGCAATAGTAAAAGTAAAAGGAATTGTTGAAGTAAAAAAAGTAAGTAGCATAATTGAATTAAGGCAAAAAATTTTGAATACAGTAAAATCATAGGATCTAAGAGAAATATTAATAGTTACAATATATTTAGTATAGAAAGATGGTAAGGATGATAAAAGACATCTTGAATTTGAGTTATCAGTTTTTATGGAGTTGGAAGGTTGTTCAATTCATCGATTGAGTTTTTATAGAGTTTTTGCCATATTTTATTGGTCAACTAAGTTCAACAACTTTTTTTACATGATGAGGATCTAAGGTGGTTAAAGTGTTTTCTACTGATTGGGAAATCAATAAAAGCATTTTGGAGTCTACAATGCAAGTAATCAAAAGTAAAAGAGGTCATTCTGAAAATAGATAATTTTAATGGCTTCATTCTAAAGTGAGAAAGATTTTTTTTAAAGAATGATTTTTAGCTTTTCCCCAGATCTGACTTTCATATTTTAAGTGAGAACCAAATACATTAAATCCTTATCTCAGTTCCATGTTGACTAATTGCCTTATTTGGCCAACATAACATAAGATAACAATATCATTGAGAGCAAATATAACACAGAAGAAAATGACATTTAAATTGGAAGCTATGCTTAAATTATAGCGATGATAATTAATTTTATATAAATACTCAATTTTTCATTAAGTGAATTTTGATGGTATTTTTATTTTTGTTGGGTGGAAAGAAACAAATCATTTCTTTCTAAGTAAAAACTTCAGTAGCAAAATAATGTTTATGTTTTGAAGCTCTTATTTTTAAGCTCTTTAATTTAAAGAAAGTTTCAGAAAACTTTTTTTTATTATTAAATACGACTCTAAATTTATTTTTTACCAAGTTTTCAGTTTAAATAGTGACAAGATGTATTTTTTTAGTTTCTATAAATAATAGGCTTTCTATTTTTTTTATAAATTTACTGGTAACATTTCAGTAAAAAATTTTGTCTTCACTTAAAACCGCCTAAAGCCATGACCAACACTAAGTAAAGATTGTAATAAAGTAAAATTTACCAAAATCAAGAAAATTCAATGTTTTTGTTCTTGAAACTACTGGAATCATTAAGTCAACAAGTGTTAACATTTGTTGACTTGATGACTTTAAAAAGCAATGTTCCAAAATTTTCTGTTTTGTTTATCATGAATTCATGTTTCAGTATAAACTTGTTTTGTTCTCTGCTGTATTTTTTAGTGTGACCCCTGCATGATTTAAAAAGTGTAAAAGTTCTACTTTTCAATCTAATTGAAAATCTTAAATATTTGAATAAAGTCTCCTCTTTGTCTTATTTCTGACAATGTTTTTAAATCAATTATCTGTAAACAGTCTTGCGAGTGCAAACTAAAGTCTTTGCCATCTTTATCATTCTGATCACTATAATTTTTGATATTTCTTCAAGATCAGAAAACTTGAATTACTGACTTGAGTTCATGAGAGTTTGAACAATCTGAGAATACCATATTTGTAAAATAGCCAGGGGCTATTCTAGACAGTTTTTGACAGGGTCAACCATATTTGGGCGCCACCTAAATTCAAAAATTGAAAGAAAAAAAAAATTGTTATATAACAGGGTTCCCACTCCTCCTTAAAAACCTTAAATATCCTTAAAAAATAAAAAACTCCTTAAATGTCCTTAAATACCATTAAAAAAGTTAAAATTTGACTGCTCTCCTTAATTTTTTTTTTTTTTTTAATTATCTAGAATTTTTTTTTAAAGTGAATGAATTATACTTGTTAATAAAGAAGATAATATATAGATTTTTGATAGTTTTCAAACCTATTTTTGTTTTATATATATATATATATATATATATATATATATATATATATATATATATATATATATATATATATATATATATTAATATTTATATATATATAAAGTAATAATTATTTCTCTGTTTATATTAAAATTTATTTAAAAAAATAAGGTTATGTTTTTAATGTAATCGTTTTCTCCTTAATTATCCTTACTTTTTTTTTCATAAAAATGTTGTTTTTATGAAAGAAAAAGTAACCAAATCTCCTTAAATATTAGGAAAATATCTCCTTAAATCTCCTTAAAATCCTTAATTTAGAGTTAGTTTTAATAGTGGAAACCCTGTATAATTTAATGATTATTTTGATTGTTTATTACTTGATAATATTTTTCAATGCACAATATTTCAGTGGCGTCAATTGCATTTTTTGGTCTTCAAGATAGCTAACTTCCAGACATGGAGCAAACTCCAAACATTTATATGTTTATACTTATGTCAAAAAAGGATGCTTTGCAAAAAATTGCGATGATTAAAGCTTGAGAACAAAAAAGCCCTAAAATTTTTCCCCCCTCCTGTCCCAAACATGAGAGCAACAGGTTAATGAAATATTTTTTGTACTATTTTTAACTAGACTTATATGCATCGATAAGTTTTAAGTTTCATAGTAAAATATTTTAGCGTTCAAAATTTATGACCTTATAAAGTTTAAACCCCCTCAATTTGAAGGGGTTGCAGATTTTATATGGTCATTCTTTTTGAACGCTGCACAGTGGGATAAAATTGCATTTTTTGTGCCAAAATTATTTTTAATTTTTTATATTAGAACTGTTATAAAGTAATTATACAAACCATATAAAATGAATATCGAGCTCATATATATTGCTAAAAAAGTTTTTTTTTGGTTTAATTACAATTAAAAGTTACGAACTAAATATATCTATATTCTAGAACGTAGAATTCTCGCAATTAGAGACACTCAAAAAATTTTATTCATGCATGAAGTGTAGATAATCCATATTGAAGCTCATCCGGTGAGTATGGAAGTTTTTTAACTTTGTCAAGGTTGTTTATGTCTTTTGGTGAACACCCGCATATACAGCAACATTGAGTAGAGCTTGTTACATTTGAAAGAGCAGTATGGACTTTGTCTTCTATCATTGTAACTTGAATGATATGTTTAACTGAAATAGACTTGCTATTAGATAACTGAACAAAAGTTTCTACAAGATTTAAGATCTCGTCTTTCAAAGTAGCTTCTTCAATAAGTAATAAATCAGTTGTTTTTTTTCAAATTTAAATCTTAAATTTCGGCAATATAAAGTGTATGAAGGTTTTGGATTTCTCCCAATGAAAGTTAGACTTTCTCTCTTTTCTTCTCTTTTCAAGTAGTGAAAACTTTCAACAGACATTTTTTGTTTGTATATGTTTTGACCAGTAGGCCCATCAAAACCTGCTTTATAATGAAAAGATACTAGGTCAAACGTTTCTAGCATACATAAAACCTCATTTTGAACTTGACTAAGTCTTTGAGCTGTATGGTCACATAAACTTTGCAGTGGTATACTTGCAGTATAGTCAGTAAAAATCATGTTATAAGGGTAGCACAAAAGTTTTGATGATTTTATATTGTTATATGCAGGATACAGGTTGCATTCTTTTTCCATTGCTGCATTTCTATGGAGTTGAAACGCAGCTTTGGTCATATTTGAATCTAGCATCAACTACAATGCTTCATTTCCAGAAAGCATCAAAGAATCTACATTCTTATCTAAATATATTTTGTTGATTGCTTTAGCTTTTTCTATTTTTCCTTCTTTATTTAATGAAACTTTTGAAGCAAATAATAGCTTGTTTGACAAGTGACTTTTTTGGAGTTTACTAACACGTTGATACTTAGTTCTTGAAGAACACTCTTGAAAGTCAGTAATTGTTGATCGACTAGCGCTGGAAATAGATTGAGAACTTGCAGGAGGTATGGTTATTTTGCCTGCAGCAAAATCATTTCAATTAATTTCATTATCAAGCCATTTATTATTCTTTTTAATAAATAAAAATTCTCTGCGTTTACAGACATTCCAGCAATATTTAAGATGTTCTTAAAATGTTCATAAGTGTTGATCACCGAACAATTTCATTGTTCTGATCAAGGGATAACTCAAAGAATGTTAGCAAATGAATATATGATTTCTCAGTATCTTGAATAGAAATTTCATTATCTTTTAAAGAGTTTAAAAGATCAGAATATTTCATCTAAAAACAAAACTGAAGTTATTGCATCTTGCGGACAAGTGTCTGTAAAATATTATTATTGCATACACTATATGTAAAAGCATTAGACATACTGAAAAGGTTATAAAAATATTTTTTTTAATGAGGAAAAGGAAGGAGGGGGGGGGGAGATGGAGGGAAAAAGGCACCATATCAACAAGTATCATATATATAACTAAAAAAAATAAAAAAATTATTGAAACCTTTGATAAAAAAAATCTTGCATAATTAATTTGCAGTTAAAAAGTCATTAAAAATATTTTAGTTTCAAGAATTTATGAAAAACGTATTTTTGCAATAAATACTATGAATCGAGTACTATACTATGAATTTGTTATAACTTTATTAATTGCAAAAATTTGCAAAATATTTATGATACATTGCAGTTAAGATACATTAAGCATTAGATTTACATAATCAAATGTTTGGAGGATATTGGAGGATGGTTTATCTGATACCTAATAGTAAAGGTTAGTAGCAGAAATAAAAAAGCCAAAACTGCCTGTCACTGATGCATAAAAACTGAAGAATACACTGACGTTTAATTTTACCAAAATTTTAGGGCTTTTTTGTTCCTAAGTCCAATCATCACAATTAGTTTTTCTTTATACTTATGTCAATTCTTTTATTTGACATAAATATAAAGTTAAATATAACTAATATAAAGTTAAATATAACTAATATAAATATAAAGTTAAATATAACTTATGTCAATTCTTTTATTTGACATAAATATAAAATTAAATTATGTCAAATATAAATTCTTTTATTTGACATAAGTATAAAGATATAAATGTTTGATGTTTGCTCCATGTCTGGAAGTTAGCTCAAAGACCAAAAAATGCAATTGGTATCACTTTAATATTTATTACATAATTAAGAAATGCTTTGGTAAAAAATTTTGCGTTAAGAAGTAAATTGACAGGGTGAGATGAAGAGTGGGTAAAACAACCTTAGTTTAATTCAAGACTAATTTAAGGCTTACTTCTCATACTGATTTTAAAATTTTTTACATATACGTATTTTGTATTATAATATTTTATACAATTTATATATTTATCTGAACATTTTTAACTATTAGCTTGAGGCAATTTTAGAACTTCATTATTTCTTACTGAATTATATCTTTTTAGTAAAATTCTATAAATTAGGAAACTTATCATATATAGAATCTTAAAATTTACATTCACTTTTTAAATTGCAAAAATTGTATTTTGAACTATCAAAAATCAACTTTTTAGGTTTGCCATTATGAATAAAATATGCTAACCTAAGCAAATCCACAAAAGTAAATGTGTGTGATTACAAAGAGAATGTGCACATTTTTGTTTTGTTTTGTGGTGTTCATATATAATGACTAAATTACCTTAGTATTGATATTTTAAAAAATAAATGGTTTTTTTTTGTCTAAATGTCCTTTATGTATACCTTTCCTTTACATATACATTACATATACATGTCCTTTATGTATACATTTTTTTAGTTTATTATAATAATAAATGTTTAATATGATAATAAAAAGATAGATTGTAAAATTGATTTATTTAAAAAAGAAATTTAAAGTTAATATTTTTAAAAGAAAAGAATTAAATTGTGCTCTTTGTTTTGATGTGGAATATTTAGACCATGGTGGTATCAATCAACTGGGAGGAACATTTGTTAATGGACGTCCTCTTATTGAACCTGTTCGTAGAAAAATTGTTGAGTTGGCACATCAAGGTGTCCGGCCATGTGACATATCTCGACAGTTAAGAGTTTCTCATGGATGTGTCAGTAAAATACTTAGTCGATTTTATGAAACAGGGTCAGTCAGACCTGGTGTAATTGGTGGTAGTAAACCAAAAGTTGCTACTCCTTCTGTTGTTGCTAAAATACAAGAGTACAAACAGCATAACCCAACAATGTTTGCATGGGAGATAAGAGATAAACTGTTATCAGAGCAAATATGTGATAGTGATTCTGTGCCAAGTGTAAGTTCTATTAACCGAATTGTTCGAAATCGTTTAGGATCCTCATCTCATGCCTCAATGGCTGATTTAAACTCACCATTACTAAAGATTGATCCTGATATGACACATTATTTTGTGCATCCTGGTTTGCCAATCCAAATTGGTGCTATTTCAACCAATTTTCCAGGTTCTATTCATGCACATTTACCAAGAACTACTTCAGGTTCATACTCGATTAGTGGAATTTTAGGAATGGCAGTACCATCTTCTCAAGGTAATTTAGGCACACTAATAATGTGTTCTGACTATTCTATTCCTAATGTGCAACAGATACATTCTCATGTTTTAAATGATGAAAAAGGTAATGTTCATATTATGCAAGAAGGAGAAATTGCTCCTAGTATTGATCATCCCACTCAAGTTAATGCAAATGAATGTAAGTTATATTTTGTTAGATGATGATATTCAGTTAAAAAAATTTGTTTAAACTTTGAAATTTTGTTTTAAACTTTGAAATTTTTTTTTATCTTTAGATGTTTTAGAAAGTAGTGACTCGTTTCATGATTCTTCAGCTGCTTCATCTTCATCATTATCTAATGAAGAAGATAAGTTTTCAAATGAACAAATTAATAAACCTTATTACATGAAAATGGATTTAAATTTTGATTCAGAAAATGAAAAAAATACGAACAAAAAGACTTCTATGCAAATAAATGATGTAGATGACTCTAAGTTTGATATGTCATTGCAAAGTACTATTCATCATGCATTTTCACACTCTAATGAACAGACAAATCATACATTTAAGAAGGCAATGCGTCGTGTACGCACAACATTTTCTCTTGAACAACGCAGAGCCCTTGAAGATGCTTTTGAAAAAACACCATATCCTGATGCTGAGCAAAGAGAAGAAATATCAATTCAATGTGATCTTCCTGAACCTCGTGTCCAGGTATTTTAAATAAAGTTTCTAAATAAATCTTTAAATCTTTCATTTTTATTTACTGCAAATAAACAAAACAAAAAATCAGATAAATGTATTAAATTTTTATTATAATAAAAATCCAATCTTGTTTAAAAATATGATTGTGTGTTTATGTTTTATTACAAATCTAAGTCACTGTAAAATCACTGTAAAAAAATTGTTTTAATCAAAAAAGGTATAAAAAATTTAAAAGATTTTTATTAAATGAAAAAAACTATTGTTTATATTGTTTTGAAAAGTATCGTCAAGAAAGCTAGTTTTAAAAATTTTTGAAAAGCCGCACATAAGAGTTGTTGTTTTATTTTAATGTGCTATACCTAGTTTTACAGCAATAACAAGGTTGTTAAAGGATAGATTTTAAAATATTTAGTATTAAGGTTTTGTTAGTATTTATTAATTTTTTATCATTTTTTACTGTATTTACAGCTTGTCTAGTAAACAATTCTAAATGCTAATAATATATAGTGTGAGATTTTTGGATATCTTTAAAATAATTTTGATGTAGCAGGCCTTTTTTAAAATAAAAAATGCTTTATGCATTAGTGTGAATTTGAGGCCATAAAATTCTCCTTTTTTAATGACATCAAAACTATGACAATATAATAAATTTCCACAAAACAACATCAATTAAAAATTTAAACCAATCAACAAAAACAATGCAGAAATGTAATAACAGAATGTTTATTTTCTTTAAATTTTTTTTAATGTTTCATATAAACTAATTTTTTACTTTTCTCAGTTTTAGTATAAATTAAAATATTAATTTATTATTTAAAATATGTTATATTTTCAATTTCAGCTTTGCTACTAAAAATAATTTTTTATATTTTATAAGTTAGCTTGCAAAAAATAAAAGTATAACTTGAAAATAAAATAGTGAAAATAAAAAATAACTTGAAAATAAAATAGTGAAAATAAAAAAGTTTAACTTATTGCGAATTTAATAACTTTATCAATGAGTTTGTTGTGTAAGCAAGATTATTTTAGTTTTAAAAGTAACATTTATTAAAAAATGTATATCATTACACTTAAACTTGCCATAAGAGAAAAAGTTTTTTACGTTCGAAGCATATGTTTTGTGCAAATTTTTGATACAGTCTCGAAACACGTTTACAAGGAATTTAATTTTTAGTATAAAAAAAAAATGTATAGGACAGAATTGTAAAAAAGGCCTGATGTAGTTCTTATTCAAAAGTTTACAATCAATAAATTAGTGGTTGTTGAACAATGTTGAAACAATGTTGAACCAAGCAAACAAAAATTTTTATTAAGAGTTTGCTGCATGACTGTAAAAAAAGATCTTTGTAGTAATATGAATAAAAAAATGTTAGGGTTCACTATCAAAGTTACTTTTTCCAATAAAATGTTATAGAAAAATAAAATATTATAGAAAAACAAAACATAGTAGAAAATAAAACGTCATAGCGAAATAAAATGTTCTAAAAAAATAAAGTGTTACATAAAAAAAATATTTATTTGAGTGGAAACTTTCAAAAGTGCAAACAGCTAAATTAATTTTGTAAAGTAAAACAAATTTTGAAAAGAAAACTTGAATTTTAAAAATAAAAAAGAGTTTCAATTAAATTAATTTCAAAAAATAAAACAAATTTCAAAAAATTAAGTTAACTTTACTTTAATTAAGTTACGAGAAATAAATAAATTTTCAATTAGCTAATTTTTTTTTGAAATTTTTTTTTCTTCTGTCTTGATATAAAATTTTTTTTTTAATTTTAACCTTTTTTTTACATTGAGACAATAGATACATTTAAAGCTTTAAAAAGCTTCTGTTCTAGTTACAATAGTAATAATACTACACTCAGAAAAATTTATTGATGGTTTTGTGATGATTTTTTTCCTCTGGAATTATCCTGATTTTGATAAAATTTTGTTGCATACATCTTGTGGTCACAGGTAATTTTGTTGCACACATCTTGTGGTCACTGTAATTCCAGTTCTTATTTGTCTTGCTGTTTGTACTTTGGATGACACCAAACTCAAAATAGAAGAATTTTGCCTTCTGGTTATTTTTTTATTTTTGTTCTTAGGGTGATTTTTGTTGTAGTTTTCACTTAAGTTTATAAAATTGTTTACTGCATGATAAGACCTTATGATTTTTTTTGTAATTCATCAATTGGACAAATCAATATCTTTGTAAGCAACAACTTCTTTATAGAACATACAAACCAATATCTTTGTAAGCAACAACTTCTTTATAGTACATACAAATCAAATCTTACTCAAACATCAATTGACATTAAGTATTCAAAACAAACTGATGAAACTATGGAAATTTTGCCTGTATATATATACCGATTTTAAAAATATTCTAACAAATTTCAATTTATTTAGAAACACATGAAGTTATGTTAAATGCTTTCATTTGCAATAGGTCTAATAAAGATAATTATTCGCGGTTGATTTTATAAATTCATTTTGCGTAAAATCTGCAATAACACAGAATTATGGAAGTTTCTCTGAGTATATGTGGTATCAATCTATTTACCTTTTTGGATTTGGTTATTTTCAGTCTTAAGTTTTAAAAAGTAATTATAAACCTATAGCAGCTAATACAAAACTACAATGAGCTCGGTTTAAGTTTGTGATGTCACTTTTATTATTTTGATGTAATAGTTAAATGTAAATTACTTTTAAATGTAAATATTTGCATTTAAAAGTAATTCTTTTTTTATTTTAATAACACTATATTACATCTAAAACATAATTATGTAAAGTTAATTTTAAAAATAACTTTTACTTGTAAATATTAATTACTTTTAAAAGTAAGTCATTGAAAAATAATTTAGATCTTACCTTTGAAAAGTAATTTAGATTTTGCTTATATAAATAAATTCCATTGAAATTTAATTTACTTTTTATATGTAAAATAAAATTTTTTATGAGAGTAAATACTTAAATATAAGGTTTAAAATAAAATTTTTTATGAGAGTAAATACTTAAATATAAGGTTTAAAAAGAGTAAGATTTACTTTAAAAATCAACAAAATTTTTATATACAAAAAAGTAATCAAAATTATAAGAATAAATTCTTCAATAAAAAACGATGTTTGTCAGAGCAAGGAAAGTTGATCAACTTTCTACAAAAAGGGCACCTACTAAATTAAACTTACTACTAAACTTTCTAATAGCCCTTTCAGACTATAACTTACTGAAAAGTTGTTAAAATATTAATAAAAAAAGAACTCAGTTTTCATTTTGGTCGGAATAAAAGATAAATAATTTGATATTTAAAGAAAGATTGAAAAATACAGACCACTTTACTTTAACTTTTAAGTTTTACATCCTATTGTAGAAAAAATTGTAAAAGGCATCATAGTAGCCACAATGCGCTTATGTTGATATTAATTTTGATCTCCGCAAAGAACAACTTGCTGTATTTCTCGTTATGTAGCAACATTTATAAATCTTAGCAAAACATTTGATATAGCATCAAATGTTTTGCTAAGATTTATAAAAATTGCAACATTATGAGACTTAATGCAAAATGGTTCTTTTTTTATTGCGATTTTGAGATAAGACTCTGATGGGGTTTTTTACAAGTTAGCATTTATAACATATAAATGTAAATTAGCAAAGTAGAACCCTCTCTAAAGGATCTATACTATATCTGTATCTTAATGAGAATCTGGCATTTACTCTAGACAATTTACAATTTTACTCAACACTGGTGTATTTTGAGATTTTTTATGTATTGTATTTTTTCTCTTTCACTTAAAAGGTTTTATTTAGGGAGCGGCAATGTATAGTTTAACGATGCATTGATTAATCGTGGTCGATGCATCGAACAACTTATCGTGGTCGATACATCGAACTTGATGAGTTTTTCAATGCATTAAACATGCTTAATCGAACAAAAATGTACTTGAATGATTAACGATGTGTTATATAAAAAAATAATATATAAAATGGCTAAATCACTTACATTAGTGGTTTTTTGATTTAAAATTATGTTTCTTACAATGCCTTTTCACATGAGAAAAAGTAAATAAATTGTCTATAATCATAAAAGTAAGTAGATTGTATAATGTTTTATTAATCGTAAATCATTAAATTAAATAGGTCGTTTAGTATATTGCTAATTGTTAAATTAAATGCCTAAATAAGGTATATTGACAATACACTTATTGATAAAGATTGGCTTCTTCAATTACGCTCAGAAGTCATAGGATTTAATAATTATTGAAGCATCAAAAATTCTAGATATTACAATTAAAAAACTAGTTTAAAGTTGCTCAACCAGATGGAACAGAGAGCTCCACCATTTACAATCAATTAATAAGCTACTGCTTATCATCACAATTGTAGCAAAAAAATATGTTTCACAAAATCTATTCAACAAAATACCAAATAAAATGGAAATTAAATCACCCAAAATCTAACCAATTCCATAATGAAATAGGTCGCTTATCATTACTTATTGAAAATAAATGATAAATTTCCCGAATATGGAGTTTCAGTTTTAGAATACGCATATGCAAACATGTTAGATACACGTTACAAAGGATCAAAATTTAATTGCATTGGGCAAAGGTATAACATGACCAAGATATCCTTAAAGGAATATGTGTTCAACATGTGGAAGGTCAAACTTAGGAACAGCTCCTCACCAACGCATCACAATACCTCAATGATGACACACAAGACACAATGACACAGACACAAACACAGCCTCAAGAAAACAAAATAACGTATGAAGGTACATATGAAGTTCTAGTGAAAACTTGAAGGTTTTTAATGAAGGTTAAGGCAGAGTTAGAAAGTTCTTTAACAACAACACCAATTACCAATAATGGGTATATACTTTGTTACTGGAGGAACCAATCATTTAAGTATGTCAAACTTGCCCGCTTTGCCAGGAGAATATTGGAAATTCCAGTAGCTTTCTCTGAACAACTGTTTTCCACAGTTAGAAATATCTGTTATGACAGGAGAACAAATCTATCATCATTAAAAGTTAAAAAAACTTGTTAATATAAAAGAAAACTTAAGACAGATGAAGAAAATGCATGATAAAAGAATATGTGAACAGTATGCAATTTTTTTTCTTCTGTAAATTTTTTATTTTATTACTGTAGCACAATAGTATAACAATAACAAATAAGATTTTAGTTTTGAATTCAGCTGTTTTATAAATTTTATTTTTATTTTTTCGATGCATTGTTTAACGATCCAGTCTTTCGATACATTGTTTAATGATGATGAGAATTCGATGCACTGTTTAAGGATTTGTGTTTCGATGCATCTAACACCATGTATTGAATATGATGTATCAATATATTTAACAATGTTAAATAATACATCGCTGCTCCATAGTTTTGTTGTATGTCTAAATGTTATTCATCACAACACCTGGGGTATATTCAAGCCTTTCCAGGAAGCGTCAGTGCCTAAAAAACTTCAATTGAGGTCGCTCGCCTTGTTTGTCCACAATTGAAGTTTTGAAGGCACTGACCATGGCAGTTCCCATATTTTAACTTTTAAAGCATTTTAATAAATTACTGCAAAAGCTAAACCTATGTACTGAGGGAAAAAAAATCAGTATTAAAAACAAAGTTGTAATGATGTATCAAATTTTTATTAAATAAACTAGAAAAATTTAATTTAATAATTAAAAAAAGAAAATTAAAAAAACTTTATACAACTTTTGTTTTTGTTTTTAGAGTGGTTGTTATTTCGTGTTTTTAGAATTTTTGTTATTTTGTGTTTTTAGAGTGGTTGTTATTTTGTGTTTTTAGAGTGGTTTTATTTTGAACTAGAGAGTTTGATACAAGTTTAGGAAAAAACATATTTTATAACACCAATTTTATATTTTTATAACTTCAATTGAAAGTTTTGATATGCAATTTATTTATGATTTTTATGAAATTAATTTGCTATGTACTCTATAACTATGAGAAACTTTGTTAATTTTTTTTTCTTATGTTTATTTATTTTCATGTATTTTAGTTTTTAAAAATGTTTTAGCTATGTTTGATGTCTTTTCTTAATACTTATATAATAGGAAAATCATAAAATAAATTTCTATTTATATGTAAAATATATTATTTGACTAAAAAAAATTTTAATGGCGGAAGAAATTAATTAAAAAAAATGCCATGATTTCTTTTTTAAATGTATTTCAATACTTGATGCCTGTCTGAAGTTATTTCCTTTACATTGCCCAATTTTCAACGTTAAGACAAATTTCTAGAGATAATGAAGATATTGATTGTTCTGTTTGAAAAAATGTATTTAAAAACTTAAAAAAATGTTCTAAATAGGCTCCTAAAAGTTTGGTTAAAAAAGTTCATATAACAATGCAGATTTTAGAGTGTCTGTAACTAAAGTTCATCAAGAAATAAACTATCGAGTTTAAATGCACAATTTGAAGAATCCAAGAAAAATGCAGACTATTTCAATGGGGGTAGTGAAAGCAACTAAATATTTTATATTTGAACATAAGTATTAATGACTTTTTATTATTTTACATGAAAAACTTGTTAAGAAATTTAAAAAATTAACAGCAATTTGTTTTCTTGCTTTCCTGTGCACTGATAAAAACAGTAAGTTTTAGCTAAAACATTTATTTTAAAATTGTCTTTATTTATAGCGCAAACGATAAAGTATTTCCTTAATATACTGACTAAGATAATGCAATATCACTACCAAACTATTGAAGTATCAAAAAACACCAAACTATCGGTAGTAATGATATTGAAAGTGTAATATCAAAAAACTCAATTTCAATATCGAGTGTTTGAATGTGAAAACATTTTTTCCAATAATGAAAATTGTTCCCATCACTACCAAAGTCCCTTTTGCCACTACCGAACTCAATATCAAAAAAAAAATTGGTAATAACAATAATACAAATTTTTTGAAATAAATTTAATTAAAAATATTTTGTCCTAAATAAGAAAACTTTAGAGCATAATAATTTTACCTGAACATTTGACATTTTATTAAAATATAAATTATGTAATAAGAATTAATTATTTTAATTTAAAATAATTCTCCATTAAAATTTTTATTAAAATTGAATTATACAGTACAATCTCTCTAATTCAAATTTCCTTAATTCGAAAACCTCCATAATTTGATTAAATGCAAAGTCACCATGAAAAGTGCTTAAGAAAAAATCAACTTTCTATAATTCAAAAATCTCTTTAATTCAAACTTTATTTTTCCCCATAAAATTTGAATTAGAGAAATTCTACTGCATTAAGTAAATTTCATAAAATAATTAATTTTCAATTATTTTTATGGTTTAATTTTTTTGTTGCAGAGGTTTTCTTTTTTCTTTTATTTCTTTTAAAAATAAAATTTACAGATCTGTCTAAAATTGTGAGAATAACATTGTTATATTGTTTTAAAGAAAGTGGCATCTTAATAGTTGATAATGCTAAGAGAAAGTCCTTATTGAGAATTCTTTCAAAAAAATTTTCATGGTAAAGATGTTGCCCAATGCAAACAGTGCCCATCAAAAATAAGCACCAAGCTAGGCAGCACCACAGGACTAAAGTTTCATTGGACTGCCACAAAGACATTTTTAACAGTATTGAAAATGACAGAAAAAAGCGATCATCTGAAACTACAACTGAAGCATTGTCAGTGGAGACAATTAATGAAGCTGCGAATAAAAACGTAAGTCAAGCCCAGGTTGTTGAAAGAGGTAAAAAAAATGAAGAAGAACATTTCTTCTTATTGCAAAGTAAAAACAAAACTTTCTTCTAATGATAAGCCACAGCTCATAGCAGACTTAAAAATCATGAAATATTTGTGCGTGTCAAATTTACCATTTACACATGTTGCTTCTGATGGATTTAAAGATCTTATGGTTTTCACAGTGCCTGAAGTTCTTCAAGCACCTTCAACATATTTAAGGAGCAAGTTACCTATCTTATCTTATCAATCATCTTATCAATCTTTAAGCACCTTCAACATATTTAAGTAGCGACACACTGGAGATAACATTGCTCACAAAACAGGCACAATCATCAGTTGAATACCTTTTAAGCCAGACTTGAAAAATGCAAAATGTGTCTCTGATAGTGCTGCTAACATGTCAGCAATGAAGAAATAATCAATGATCAATGAAAATACTACTTGTACTGCACATATTCTCCACTTGGTAATAACACAAGGTGTCAGTTCTGTAGAGGAAGTTAATGAGACGTTTCAAGCTTGCAAAAAGCTTTCTTCAAGAACACACAAGTCAATTGCTAGTCAGAGAAGAATCTTTGATGCTTGATGGTCCAAATCTAGAGCTTAATCAGTAACCAGAAGGGTTTTGTGAAACTTTTTAAAAACATGCTATTATTATTGTTCTTATCTTTGACACTTATAAAATGCTGGAGCCAAAGTCATAATTATCAGGTTTATACTCTTGGTTATATGTTATTTAAAAGCTTTAATTGTTTGAAATAAAAAAAAAATAAAAATAATCACTCAAAATATACTCTTGTTTACATGTTATTTAAGTACTTTAATTGTGTGGAAAAAAAAAGTAATCGAAATAATCATTCAGTCAGGTAGGTCTTAATAAAAGTCGAAATAATCAGCATTTAGATGGGTGGTTTTTAAAATTTTATGCTTATATGCACCTCTGAATCTTTAGTATATTTAAAAAAATTTGATTTTAAAGTATATTTTAAAAAATGGATTTTAAAAATAAAGTTGTAAAAATTATTTTTAGAGGGTTGTCACCAGCTACCATTAATTGTCATTTCAACCAGTCCTATTGTGCTACCAGCCTTTGATTAATTTTAGAAGTTTGCCACCAGTCCTTTATTAATGAAAATGTCCTAAATATTACCCAAAAATTTTATTAGCTTAACCACTAGTCTTGTAAGATATGTAGTTACTGTTTTTAACAAACTTTTTTGTTAAAAACAGTAAGTTTGTAAAAAACTAAATTTTAAGTTTTTATTTGTTTTACAAATAATTTCTACTTTTGAAATCCTCATTTAATTCTGCTTCCTTTGAGATCCAGGGTTTTTTAAAAAAATTTATATAATTTTTTCTTATTAATCTAGGTTTGTTGCTTTTTGCCTGCATTGTTAAATACAATCAAATTTAGCCTGCATATCTTTTTGTATGCATTGAAAAATAACAATGAAATTTAGCCTAAATATCTTTTTAATTACAGGGGGAATAATAACCTGTATAAATTATTTTAAAGGTATGGTTTTCAAACAAACGTGCTAAACTTCGAAGACAAGATCGCAATGAGGATAAGCAAGATTCAATTAAAAATAAAGAAATGATTTCTTCTCATTTGGACTTTCAACGCATTCAAAATCATATTAAGCAATATGATTGTAAGAATAATTCTGAAGAAAATAATCAATCATGTTTTCCCGATGAATATCAAGATCAAATCAATGTTCATGATGACGTTAAAAATTGCTTGTTGAACTCTGAACTCAATACTTCAACTACTGATCATCGTTTCACAAATAGTAAGTTAAAACGAGGGAATCCAGTTATATTTGTTTTTGAGCCAGATGTTGTCTCTTCTATAAAAGATCCAAATATTTATCCTTATCAAAAGGATGTATAAATTCTTAATCTTTTTTTTTTTGTTATTAATTTTTATAGCTTTTTATTTTGTATCAATCATCATTGTTCATTATCATCCAATCATTTCTAATTTTCCAGCATTTTCATTCTTCTGTCATTAAGGTTATAATGTTTAAAACTATTCTGTTGCGTCATTTATTTGCAGGAGTTTTATCAGAAATAAAAACTTCTGATAGTGCTACTAACTCGTGTTCATTACCTCCTGTCAGCACATTAACAAAATCTACTAACCAACACCATGACGATGGTTGGCCACATCAACAACGCAAACTTTTTGTTCTTGGTAACTACTAACAGTTGAAATTTTTCTTTGCCTATAAAAAAATCATGTTGATATATATTATAACTCATAAGAATGATACATATGTATACATTCATATTTATATATAATGTATATATGTATATATATATATAGATGTGTATGCATATATATAGATGTTTGTCTGTGAACATTTACACGAATTATTTTTGTTATTAAAAACCTAAACATTCAATTTTTTTTTTAAAATTGTTGATAGTTTCTTGACTTCTCCTCATAAACCAAGTGGAGTAAAACACGTGAATATAGTTTTTTTATTATACTTAATTTATTTGCACCCAAAGAATCTCATCCTGCTTAGGGATCGTCAATAAATTACGCAGAAGTAGGAGATATTAAGCTCTTTTACGTGGCGATTTTCAATAAACTTAATGGGTTACTTTAATTTTTTATTTAAATTAAGACTATATGAAGAAAAACTTTTGATCTTTTTTTGTTTTGTTTATTGTGAAAGTTTGCGTTACGTAATTTATTGACGATCCCTTATGGTTTTCAAATTTGAAACTAATTAAAAGCCTTTTAGTCTTTTTTTTTTTTTAAATAACTATAAATTTTTTAGTTATAAATTAAATATAAATAGTTTTGATACCTCTTATTTAAAAAGATGTTTTTATTGTGTTCCTAGAAGTTTTTAGAAATGAAAATAGTTTGAACTTTTTATTATATTTGCGTGTTGTTTACATTTTTGTTGCATTTGTGTTTAGTCTATGTATGTGTTGATGAAATTTTTTTGTGTTAAACGGTATTACTATATAAACTTGTCTTTTGTAATTTTATAAATTGTTGTGTTTTATTTTGACTCAAGTTTATTTTTTTTTCTTTGAGATATTTATATTGATTTTATTTATTTCTTTTATTTATACTTTTATATCGTTTACATTGAGACATTTATATTGTGCATTGAGCAAAAAAAGGTATTTTTTTATATATAGTTTCGTACCTAAATAATGTAATCAAATACTATTTATATGAGAAAGGTTTTCACTTTTTTTTGTTTGTTTGTTTTATCTCTGCTCACTTACTGTTGATTTTTAAAAATCCTTTTAGATTTTGTTTATGGACCATTTTATGTAAGGTCTCAATTTTTCAATATTTGCATATAAATTATTTCATGTCAAAGATATTTTCAACTGTCTTCAAATTTATCGTATTATGTTGTAGGGTTACTTTTTCGTCGTAAATTTTGCGCCCCATGGTTCTTGGTGTGTTATTTTTTTATTTCGGGATTCCGGCAAAATTTTTATTTTATCTAAAATATAATTGCAGATAAGCGGTTTCTAGCACAAATTTATATTACCACACTTATCTAAATTATTTTTTTTAATCAAAATAATTGTTTTAAAAAGCATACACCACTGCAGCTCGAACGGATTTTTCCAAAAAGTAATCCTGTTGCAGAAAAGCATTAACAATTAATTTACCACATAACACAGTAATTTAAAAACACTTAAAATTTGGCCAAAATACAGTTTTTTGACTAGCGCGATTAAATAATGTTATTAGTTAACTATTTTCTACAGTTTCTTATGATTCTAACGGTATAAAAAAATAAGTACTAAAATAATAGATTTAAACGTTAATTTATGTTTGAAAGTGACAGAAAACAGCTTTTTTTTATCGTTAAAGTTTTATCATATTAAAATTTGATTTTCTTCATAAATACAAAACCATTCATTTTAATTTTCATTATATACAAAAATAATAGTATATTTTATCTTAATGTATGAATATATTTTAAATATGTATTTATACATCTTAAAAGAAATGAATTTAAAAAATGCGATTATTACGAGTTTAAACTGATTTTTATAGAGCTAGGACTTCCTTCGCGAAGCTTATTCCTTTTTTTAAGAGAGTATGCATCGTTCTATAACAAACTAAAAAAGTTAACTGCCCCCTTTTGAAATAATGTGGTTTTAAAAACCTAGTTTTATAAAAAAATTATCTATGTAAAAGCTAATACGACGTAAATTACCTTTTATGTTTTTCCTGACGTTTCCGAACAAAAACTTTTAATATGAATATATATATAAAGTTAATATCATTATTCTTTCACTTTGATATTAAATTATGCCAAAAATATAAAGTTTACTAACCATCAACTTTATTTTGATGGACAGAATTTAGATTGATAGAAATGAATTACTTCAAAATTTACCTTTTAATTACATTTTTTTTACAATAAAATTTTTTTCCCTAATACTACACACCCCTCCCCCGACCATATTTGACCCTTTTATAAAGATTTATATAGATAATATTGTCTTTTTTCCTTGTCTATCCTTTTTACATCAGCAAATTTCCAGCAAAAAATTTTCTAAAAAAATTAATTTTGGGCTTATTTTAAGCGCGAACGAATTTTTTCAATAAACTATTCTGCAGCGAAAAATGCATAAACAATAAATTAAAACTTAGGATTTTATGATACGCATGCGTTAGCTGCAAATATATAAAAAATAATTATTTTGATTAACCGTATTAAACTTTTATTATACATTGCTTACCAGTTTGCTTGCGTTTTTTGTTGTTGGTAAACTCATCATAAAAACAGATCAAAAATAAACTTGATTAAGTATAAGATTTAATGGATTTTGAAGTAATAAGTTTGCTTTACTTTAATCAACCAAGCTTTGTTATTAACAAGTTCAACACAGTGCATTAACTTATGTTTAAAAAAAAACTAAAATTTTTGTAAGTTGAATAAAATACTCCTCCTCTTTCTTAAAAATAGTGTTCTCTCTATTACCAGTCATTTTTTTTAAAAAAAAAAATATAATGATTTTAAATAGGGTAGTTTTCACGAAAATAGCTCCGCAAAATTAACAAACCAACTCGTGTAACAACAACTTCCATTAGTGCTATAGATAATATTCTAACTAACTCTTTTCTAGATAAGTCCATAAAAACAGGAATAATTAAAACTAATATTTCGGATCACTTTCCAATTTTCTTTTGCTGAACATGCAACCATAAATGACAATTCTAAAATCAAAGTCTTGAAACGAAAAATGAATGAACATTCTATGCTTAAATTTAAAGAAACTTTATTAACAATAAATTGGATAAATGTATACCAAGAATGTAACCTTGGACACACATATTCCGCTTATAATCTATTTCTCGTGACCTTTCTTGAATATTATAACAAACATTTTCCAATACGAGAAATAGAAGTTAAAACAAAATATTTAAAATGCCCTTGGATTACACGCGGAATAAGAAAATCTTTAAAAAAAGAGTAAAAATTATACATCAAATATTTAAAAACAAAAACGAAGCTAATCTTAATGCATAAAAAGAATATAAAAATCCGTTTGAAAAAATAAAAAATAAATCTAAAAAAAGATATTATTCTGAACAATTAAAAAATAATAATGGTGACATTAAGAAAATGTGGGAAATTAGAAAAGAAATCATTGGTAAAAATAAAATAGTTTCTGACATTTTACCCTCCAGAATAACGGAAAACGATATTGAATACAAAAAAAAAAAAAATATCAGAAACATTCAATCATTTTTTAGTAAACACTGGTCTAAACCTGACATCAAAAATAAAAGGCCCAGAAAAATCGTTTCAAAATTATCTTAGTGACTTTGAGAGTTCGTTACCAGAGAGTAATCTAACTTATGATGAACTTGAAACAGTAATCAAATCAATTAAAAGGAATATGGCCCCAGGTATTGACGACATCTATGGCAATGTTGTACTTAATGTTTTTTCTGCAATAAAAAAGGCTATTCTTAATATCTTCAGCTCTTCAATCAAAAATGGGGTTGTTCCAGACAAATTAAAAATAGCAAAAATTGTACCTATATTTAAAGGTGGAGATACATCAGCAATTAGCAATTATAGACCAATCTCAATTCTCCCTATATTTTCTAAACTCCTTGAAAGAATAATTTACAACAGACTGTATAAATATTTAATAGAACACAAAATCTTAAGTGAAAATCAATACGGGTTTCAAACACAACATTCAACCGAACATGCTATCCTAGATCTCATTAGTAACATTAACACTTTATTCAATGATGAGAAATTTGTATTGGGAATCTTTATAGATCTCTATAACAACTAGAAACAACTAAAAATCATATTGGGGTCCCTCAAGGATCTATTCTAGCTCTTCTTCTATTTTTAATTTATGTCAACGACCTACCTAAAGTCTCATCTAAGTTAGATAGCATAATTTTTGCAGAAGACACTAATCTGTTTTATTCTTCTAGCTCAACCAGAGACCTCTTTATAACCGCAAACTTAGAACTTATTAAACTTAACACATGGTTCAGAGCAAACAAATTGTCATTAAACTTAAATAAAACTAAATACATCTTATTTCACCCCAACCAAAAAAAATGGCTATCCCATTAATTTTACCTACTCTTAGTATAGAAAATACAATTATTGAACGAAAACAATCATCTAAACTTCTTGGTGTGCTTCTTGACGAGAATTTATTATGGAACTCTCACATAAATACCATGTTATTATTATTATTTTTTTTTGCGTTCAGCATTTACCGAGCTCAGACGCGCTTTTGCCACGAGGATACCAAATTTAATTTTGCTAAACTGAAAAATGGCCAAGAATATTACTTTATCGCAGTACAAAGAATTATTAGAAATGCACGAAAATACCTTGATAAAAATTTTCAATGAAAGATTTCAAAAAATTAAAACCGAACTAATATTTTAAGAAGAGAATAAACAACTTAAACTAGAATTAAATGAAGCAATCAAAACTATGGGTTTCCTAAGTGAAAAATACGAAGAAATCAAAAATAAGAAGAAATCAAAGAAACTTTAGCTGCAAATAAAAAAAAATTTCAAGAGCAAACTAAAATAAATTTAACAAAACAAGAGTGAATTGATAAATGCCAAGATGGCTGAGTTGGAAGACAGAAGTCGTAAAAATAATCTTAGGTTCGAGGGGATAGAAACGGAGGGAGAAACTTGGGAAAATTGTGAAGAAAAAATTAAGTTATTAATTAAAGAAAAACTAGGTATTAATAAGGTTATACAGATAAAAAGAGCTCATCGAACAGGAAAGAAAAAAAAACGAAAACACGAAAAAAAGAACAAATTGCCAAATTTCTCAACTTCAAAGATCGAGAAAGCATGTTGTCAAAATATAAAAAGATGAAGTTGTGGGACGAAAAATTATTTATTAACGAAGACTACAGTGAAAGAACGATAAACATTTGAAAACAGCTGTTTACACAAGCAAAAGAACTGTCTAAGACTATCAGGTAAATTTGCTAAAGTGGTATACAATAAGCTAATCATAAAGTTTTCCTATTAGATTTTTATATTGCCGTACATCATTTATTTCCAGAATTAACTAAATTTAAAATGGGTACCGTTAATAACGAATTTGAAAAAATATTTAATTTATTCCAAACCAATACTTTAAACTTAGACGATGAATCCAATCCGGATACAAATTTGTTTGATGAAACTAATTACTAAAAGCGATCTTGAAAAGAAAAAGTATTACTTGATAGGATATTTTAACATAAACTCCTTCGAATATTATGAAAATCAAAATACTAGAAAATTTTTTAACGGTCTGTTCGAAACTGAAACAATACCATTAATTAATCGACCGACCAGAATCACAAACTATTCATCATAATTAATTGACAACATCTTTACTACTGACTTTTTTAATAAGTCGCTTAAAAAGGGTATAATAAAAACAGATCTTTTCGATCATTTCCAAATATTTTTCTCATTAGAATTAAACGTAAAAAAAGAGAACCATGTAAAAATCTCAATAAAAAAATGGCCTTTCAATATTAATAATTTGAATTCCTTTAGAGAGCAAATATCACTTATAAACTGGGACTACATCAATTTTAATGATGATATTAACATAATCTATGATCAATTTTTCAAATTTTTTTATGCAGTTTATGATTCAAATTTTCCTCTATGTGAAATAGTCTTAAAAGCCAAAGAGATATAATCTCCTTGGATTACAAAGGGTCTCATAA